GGGGAGGGGGGGGATGTAGGGGGTGTAAAAAGTTGTATGGCACAGTGCCTTTGCAGTTACCACCCTTCAAAGTTTACCCTGTCTTTCTTGTTTCAAAATCTCTCACTGTATGCTGATACACAGCATTTCAAATTAGGATGCAAGTTCGAAATTTGAAGTTGAGTCAAACCTTTCCAAGACGACTACTCATTGTCAAGAAAAGTGGCCATCTTATACAGGATGTCCTCTTGGACATTGTCATTTAAATAATAGTGTAAAAATGCAATGGAGAATGTGAGAAGTGGTCGTTCGTGCAGATGATTGCTTAGGACTGGTAGTTGTTAAAGCAGGTTCGATTGTAAAATAACCTTGCTATCAATGGAAAATTCTTTTACTTCGCCAGCATGTAATAAGATAAGATTCTGGGAACAAGAAATTTAATGAATGGCATAGGCAGAGGAGTGACAATATTTAATGGACAGCCCATAGTGGATCAAAACGCATTGAGAAAACAGGGTCTAAAGTACTAAAGTTGACATTTGTGAGGTGTGCTGACAAAAAGAGTTATTTCTTTGGGATTTTAGCCGTATAGGAATTGATACATCATCATTATAGATGGTGTTTGTACAATTTGTTAGTATGGAATAATAAAAGACATGGTAGACTTGAACAAAATGGCATCAACGAAAAATCTATAAATCTGACCCCAAAAGTTGATTTTCGGCCCGATATCTCCATTCTTGGATTGCGAGAAGTAACTCATTTTGTCAGCAGGCCTCACATTTGTCTTCCTGAACTTGTACTTGTAATGCCCTCTTACCGAAATGACTTGATGTACTTTATCGAAACAGGAAAAGTTATTGCAGTGAGGACCACAAAACCGCCTCTTAAATAACCTTCTAATAGTGTTGATAGGGGCGTTAATCCTATACAATTTCACCAATTTTCCGGACCACAAAAACATTAGCAGAAAGAAGGAATTCAGTTCTCTAACACTCTCTTGCAATTGTTTTGACCCGCTCCGTCTTTCGTGGCTGTTATTGAATATTCGAACCCAGTGACTTTGCTGTGTTATTGGAAGTATTGTCGGTCTTTTCGCGCTATGAAATTGTTTGTCCTTCACCTCCTTGTACCCCATGAACTGGTGGCCAGTACTTTGTATAAAATATATACCCAGCCCTGTCTGATTGTACATCTGTATATACTTCACAAAAACCATAAATATCTGTATTATTAAGTTTATTGCAAACCCACACACATTATTTCGACAAGTATCTTCATTTTATAAAGTTAAAGAAAAGCGCCCGATTTTTATGTACATTTTTCTTTTTTGAAATGTTGGCTTTTGTGTTAGCCAGTGGCGTTCTCTCTCCGACAATAAAATCATTGTGACACACAATACGCACTGACTGAGTGTGGAGTTTCTTGGATGTTCATATATGTAGTGAGTAGTTCGTTCTTTTGAACTCCCTGACGACGCGCGTTCTGGTCTATCGACAATGTTGGAAGACATGCTGTTCTGAGGTTCTTTAAAAAGAAAGCATGTTGGTGGTTGGCGGTTGCTCTGCTGTGGTTTGCTCCTTCTTTCCTATCAAACATCTATATTCCTTATCTCTCCTCCCTCCTTTTTTTGTGTTTGTTACTCTCTTGTAACATAATTATATCTAATCTTCGGCATTTATATGACCTTATTGTGTTGCAAGTGCCGTAAAACTCTTACTAAAACAAAAAACAAAAGAAAGCATTACTTTGTTAGTCATGCATGTGATGCAGTTCTGTTGTCTTTATCTCAGGGTTAAAACAACGGACAACAACATGCATACATGTACTACATGTATAAAGTTGACATATTATGCAAATGCGCGTTTCTGATCTATGTACGGTGGTTCGCACTGTGCCACAAATTTGACTTTGATATGCTGCTGATCAGACATTATTGTAATATGTGTGTATGCTTCGTCCTTTTAGAGTTGAGAGTTCCTTCGAAAACGTGGCTGCCTGTCAGACAGAGATGATTCTACCTTCTATTTAGATATAATATATTATGCTGTGTAGGTAAAGTTAATTGCACTGCACTGTGAGTAGTGTGAGATGGAAATCTTACAACTTACACTCAGAACCTTCTCTAAGTTCTGGCAGGGTTACGAGAAGAAGAAGAAAGAAGGTGGGTGGTTGACGGGTGCTCTGGTCTGGTTTTCTCCTTCTCTCCTATCAAACATCTATCGTCCTTATCTCTACACCTTCCGTTTTTTGTATGTTACTCTCTTGTAACACATCTATTCTTCGGCACTTATATGACCTTATTGTGTTGCAAGTGCCGTAAAACTCTCGAAAAAGAAGAAAGAATGTACGAAATCTGTCCTAGAAGTACCTTGCCCTGTTCTGTAATATCGACAATATTATTTAGTTCACGGGCATGAAGTGTTATATATACCTACAGAAACATGTTTTCTTTTGAAAATAACAACCGTTGATCTCTATACATTTTTAATAATCCAATGAAGCCAGAGCTAGCACAGTGACCATGTCATGTTCGCTTGGGTCGGAGTCCTTAGCGCAGTATTAATCGTTTCAAGGACAATTAATTGTTTCCTCGTTTATGCAGTAGGCATTACCGGCTACCTATTTATTCTTATCTGGGCGAAATGTAGAAGAGTTACGAACGTATAAAGTGCAGTGCCTTTCCAGTGGACACACTATCAGCCCTTGACGAGATTCGAACCCATCACCTTCGGTTTCGAGCCCAGCAGTTCAGTGAGATGACTTCGAGGTAAACCCAGGTTTGGTTTGCCAATTTAAAATTTACCACTTTAACCACCTTACAAAGTGGCGTGCTCTTTCTTGGGTTGAATTGCTGAGAAATGAAACTTTTTCTATGGGCAGTGATAAAGAGGTTGCTGAGATCTAAGCAATACAAATGACAATGTGATTTTTTTTCAATTTCAATGTGTGGCAATGTGCACGCCAAATTCGGACTTCAAGACAAATCGATGGACTTTTTCGTATAGATGTCTCTGGAATACACGAAAGGTTTTTATTTTGAATTTGGATGGTCGTTGTGGTGTGGTGTGGCCTGTCTTTTGTACAACCCCCCCTCCCCCCCACAAAAAAAACAACCCTTTATAAAAAAACAAAACAAAAAAAACAACCGCACACAAATTATGTTGCAGT